TTGAAAATACCAGATCAAATTTATGTTTACGTCTTTACCTTGTCCTTGTTATTAGGTACATTGCTTACCAAATCAAATATGCTAGTTGCAGTTACTGTTGCATATATTGTTTTTTACTTGATGCATACATTCTATTTTTTATGCAGTAAAAGTAAAAAGTTGTTACATAGCTGCAAACATGAACACAACATACTTGCAAAATGTTTTAGCAAATTGAATTGGATATACTAGCTCCAATTGCAGACCTCGCCTTTTTTTGTGGTACACTTGCTGCATGGTTGCATAGATAACATCTTTTATTTGCAGTCAGAGATAGAAAAGCTTGTTGAGCAACGTGAGCTAGGAGAAATCATTATTACAGATGAAGAGATTTTTGAATCAGTTAAACCTAAAGGTAAATGTGGACGTGATCGTGGCACGGGTGTGAGTCCGTCCATTACATCATTGTTTGGACCATTTAGTGAAGGAGAGAAGTTGCGTAAAGAGGCTGAAGAGGCCAAGAAAGATGCTAATGAGGCTAAAAAAGAAGCAAGTGAAGCTAACAAGAAAAATAAAACACTCACTAAGGAGTTAAACAGTTTCAAAAACGAGGTCAGAGTTATGAAGGGTGTTATGGAGAAATTTCTCAACCTTATGGGAGGTGATTTTTCTAAGTTGATTGCGAATGAGGTATTGCATCGGTTTTTATTTCATTATTTTTTGTTAATAACTTTTAAAGTTGTTTAAAATATTTATTTAGAATTTAATTGATATATGGCAGGTTCATAAGGAGCATAATAAAGAGAAAAGTGATGATGGTGATGACGATGAGGACCATGATGATGGAGAAGAAGAAGAAGAAGAAGAAGAAGAAGAAGAAGAAGAAGAAGAAGAAGAAGAAGAAGAAGAAGAAGAAGAAGAAGAAGAAGAAGAAGAAGAAGAAGAAGAAGAAGAAGAAGAAGAAGAAGAAGAAGAAGAAGAAGAAGAAGAAGAAGAAGAAGAAGAAGAAGAAGAAGAAGAAGAAGAAGAAGAAGAAGAAGAAGAAGAAGAAGAAGAAGAAGAAGAAGAAGAAGAAGAAGAAGAAGAAGAAGAAGAAGAAGAAGAAGAAGAAGAAGAAGAAGAAGAAGAAGAAGAAGAAGAAGAAGAAGAAGAAGAAGAAGAAGAAGAAGAAGAAGAAGAAGAAGAAGAAGAAGAAGAAGAAGAAGAAGAAGAAGAAGAAGAAGAAGAAGAAGAAGAAGAAGAAGAAGAAGAAGAAGAAGAAGAAGAAGAAGAAGAAGAAGAAGAAGAAGAAGAAGAAGAAGAAGAAGAAGAAGAAGAAGAAGAAGAAGAAGAAGAAGAAGAAGAAGAAGAAGAAGAAGAAGAAGAAGAAGAAGAAGAAGAAGAAGAAGAAGAAGAAGAAGAAGAATAATCTCTCTACACTATGTGTTGTCCTTGAAGTTTTAGACCTATGTTGTTACATCTTCATGTTTTAGGACAAAATGTTTTATTAGTTTTAGACTTTAGTTAGTTTCGTTTTACACGTATTCATGGTAGATTAGATTGAACCATATTTTTTTTGTAGTTACAACATTCAGTTATTAAATGAATATTCTATTGTTAGCCTTTATTTATGTGAGGTATTTATGTTCAACAATAGTGTATTTTTAATAGTTTAAAAATTATATGCAATTGATCATATATTGATAAAAAATAATATAATTGTCGCAAAATGTATATGGTTTGGTTCAACATATAAAGTTGCATCAAATATTTTTTAGGAACAGCGTATAATAGTGCCTCTAATAACATTTTGAGTCATTAATAATAGTTGCCCTTAATAATATTTTGAGGCAACATAACATGAATGCCTCCAATGATATTTTGAGGCAAAAGGTTGATGTTGCCTCTAAATGTATCCTTTTAGAGGCATACCATTGTTTGCCTCTAAAGACAAGCTTTCGAGGCAACCATGATTTTGCGACGGACTATTTGAAGGCAATCACCAAGTTGCCTCAAAAAAGCATCAGAGGCAATTTTCCTACTTTTAGAGGCAATTTTGTCATGTCTCTACAAGTCAATTTTATTGTAGTGGGAGTATGTAAAATTTAATAAAAAGGTCAAAAAAAGGTGGAATAATTAGACAAATAACAAAATTCGAAAAACCTAAAATCATTATTTTTAAAATAAAAAAAATCAAAGTTAAAAACAAAAAATTCAAAAAGTGCATAAAAATCAAATTTAAACCTTGTGACATAAATTATCAAAAAAACATATAAAAAAATGTAAAACGTATCTAAAAGTTAAAAGTACATAACTCAAAAATAAAAATCTCAAAAAATAAAAAACAAGTCATTTGTAATCATTTGTTTTAAATATCTTATATACTTTATATAAAAATTATAACTATCAAATAATATTAAAATTGAAAGTAAACATGTAATGATGTCATATTTTAAAACTATTAACATGGGTAAATGGTAATTTTTCGAAAATCTAAAAACTAAAACTTATAAACATAATATGTTAGAGCATTTCAAAAACGTAATATACACGGAGTCACGGATAAAAAATATATATATGTAGTTAATATTGAAAAAAAATTGAAACCTGATTCTGTATATTAAAATAAAATAGAGAATAAAATTCTTAAATTGTTATAAAATCTAAAAATTAAAGAAACTAAAAAGTAAAAATAATGAATATATGTAAAAAATAAAAAATTGAAAATGTTGAATTTCGTAATTCAAAACTTTTTACATAGCGTTTAATTATCATTATCATTATTATTTATATTATTATTTGAATTTTGAATGGTGCTTTTTGTTACACAGTTTCCCGGACTGTGTGTATTGTTGTTGATAACTTTGAAATTTTTGTTTCCTTTTGTTTCTCCATGTTTGTTGTTGTTGTTGCTATTTTCGTGAAACTTTTTATTTCACGAAAATAGCAAAAATTAATAGAAACATAAATAACTAGAAAAAATAAAAAGCGACAATATACAACAAAAAGCAACAATAATTGTTTCAATGATATTGTACTTAAACATGTGCTACTACCTCGAGAGAGCATTGATGATGTGTGTGTGTATAATGAGTGATTAATTATTCAAGGTGTAAATCAACAATAAGTAACTAATTAAGGCAATGTTGCGGCGTGTCAAATGAGTAACTGAGTGGAAACTAATCTTGTAATGCCTGATTGATAGCTAATTAGCATCATATAGGGATGTCATAACATTTTAAGCTTCAAGTGCAACTACAAATGCTTCCAAAAATGCTTCACTTGAACTGTATCAAGACCTTCCATCTTAGTCACAGTAGCATATCACATCCTGAAACATTACAACTATTGTTAGAGTTGCTTTGCGTAGTACCTTGCACCAATAAATGTAGATAGCATATGTTTCAAAATCCCAATCCGTTACTTAAACATAACTTGATAAATCAACAAAAAAGCAACACAATGCAACAAAAAGCAGCACAATGCAACAAAAGCAACACAATGCAACAAAAGGCAACACAATGCAACACAAGCAACACAATGCAACAAAATCAACACAATGCAACAAAAGCAACACAATACAACAAAATACAACACAATGCAACAAAAAGCAACACAATGCAACAAAAAGCAACACAATGCAACAAAAGCAACACAATGCAACAAAAGCAACACAATGCAACAAAAGGCAACACAATGCAACAAAAAGCAACACATACAGTGCAACAAAAAGAAACAAAAAATTAGAGTTAAGACTTTGGACTAAAAGTTCAAAACTAGCTAGCAACCCTTCCGAAGGGGGACTAAAAGTTCAAAACTAGCTAGCAACCCTTCCGAAGGGGGACTGGAAAATAGGGATAAATTAGTAGAATAAAAAACCCTTCCACCCCTTTTGTCCCCTATGAAATCCCCTAACCAAACAAGCCATGAAGGAAAAAGCATATCAGAAGTATAGCATTTCCCAAATCTGAAGCAGCAAGAACAAAGCTCCATTTCAATCAACTATAGGTGTTAAACCATCCCCACATTGTACAAAATCAGTGTAAAGTTGTTGAATTCATTCCGATGGAATTAATACAGTCTGAACTGACAATAGAAATTTGTATTAAGTAAGGAATGAATCACTAATGGCAACAATACGATTAAGCATATAAGATTATAAGCAATCTTCTAACAGACTTCCAACAAATAAACTAAAATGTTAATAGTATATATGATGCTAACTCTTTGATCAGTTTGTACATAACGTTGACAAACTTGCTGCCTCAAAGCGTGTCAAGTTATGTTTGAACAATTTACGAGAAAAAGTTGCTAATGGAGTTCACTCGGCCAAACTCCAAGAACCTGAAGCTCAAGAACAAATCTCAAGTAGAGAAAAGAGGAATATGACCATAGATGAGCTTAATTCTCTCCCGCCGATTCTAACTTTTATTCTTTCACTTTTCTCCTAATTAAGTGCAACAGATACATGATCAATGTGTAATTTGATTTTTTGGCAAAATGAGTTGATATTACAAATTCAGTGTTCAAACTCAGAGTACACATTGATATGATCTCTTATTCACTATAACATAGTCACAAAACATATCCCTAATGAGCAACAAGTTGTGTTCAAACTTATAGATCTCAGATTAGTGATATTAATTTTTATCAAAATGCACAAATACAGTTTTAATAATTCCACATATGACACAATAAAATCAGAGAAAAACAATAAATATTTTCACATGAAGTCTACTAATTCGGAAATAAAGGGCATCAACAACACGAAAATCTTAAACACATACCTGTAAATTAGTTAGCGAGGCAGCCAAACAATGACCTAGAGAGCAGTGGAGCAACCAAGCAGCAGAGACAGAGGCCGGAGACGCGGAGGCACAGAGGCCAGAGGCACGGAACGGTGAAAGCTGGTGGCGCTATGGGCAGAGGCCAGAGCCGTGAATGCCCTAAGCCGCGAAGGCTGGAGGCGCGACGGCGCTGAGCCGTGAAGACTAGAGGCCGGATGTGCCGGGTGCGAAGGCGCTGAGCCGCGAAGAAGACCAGAGGTCGTGAGCCCGTGAAGATGGACGAAGAGCTGAGAGCCAACAAACGTGGATTACTCTCTGAGTCTCGTCTCTCACTGGAGGTTTGGATTACGAATTAGGATTGTTTTTGAAATAAATAAGTTAAAAGTGAAATGGGCAAAGTTTATAAATGAAAACTAAATAACCAGGAGACATAAATGAAATACAATAAGATAAAGTAGACTCGGCTGGATATTTCCACAAAGAAATTTAATGCGAACTAGGAAAAAGCTAAATGAAACGGAAAAAAGAAAGGCCCATTTTATCTAATAAAATATTTTTTATTGTCTGCATATATTAATTTTCTAAAACGTGGCGCGAATCTCATTATCACCCAAATGGTCATATTATAGTCAATCAAATCCCCCAATTAAATACTCCGTAGTAGGTAGAAGATTATGGGTCATTATGTATTTATAAATGCGTATTGTATATTCATATAATTCTTAACTTCTCATAATCTCATGGATGGTAAGCCTCATTTTGATCCTAGTCAGTGTAGCCCAATAACCTAATTGATTGATATGCAATATGTTTTTACTTTGGATTAAAAGTTCCTGGTCTGGTTTGGTTTGATCTGATCTGATCTGAACCGATCTGGTAAACGTCTGGTCTCCTTTTATTTTATAACTATCCAAGTCTGGTCTGATCTGATCAGATCAAGTCTAGTCTAGTCTAGAACTGAAAACAGTCTACGTAAAAACGCGCCAGAAAGGGTGAATCCATGTTCAACAAGGAGAAATACTAATGCCAAGAAGGTATGATGTGATATACACACACATATATACATATATTTATACTTCCTCCGTCCCCCAATTAAGTTACCACTTTCCTTTTTGGGCAGTCCCTAAATTAAGTTCACACTTTCTTACTTTCCTTATTTGGCAAATTATCTACATCAAAATAGTGTCAAACAGTGCAAAACAGTGTCTAAACAGTGTTTGAACGGTACATAACAATGCACTCCACAGTAAAGTCAAATTTATTTTCTTAATACGTGTGAAGTCAAGCCGGGAACTTAATTGGGGGACGGAGGGAGTATATATATATATAGAGAGGAATGTTCAGGTCCGAACATTCTCTATCCGAACACCGTCCGAACACCGCCGTTCGGAGCGGTTCCCGGTGGAATTTTTTGATGAAATTTTTATGGTATGCTCTTCATCAAGTCTAGTTTATCCACAAAAAAGTTCAGCTCAAAATTCGACCGGGAATGCCTTCAAATGATTTTTTGAAGTTGACTGCGTTTTTCTATGTATAATTTGGCGAAGTCAACTTCAAAAAATCATTTGAAGGCCTTCATGATCGAATTTTGAGCTTAATTTGGTTTTGGATAAACTATACTTGATGAAGAACATACCATAAAAATTTCATCAAAAACGTCCACCGGAAACCGCCCCGAACAGTGGTGTTCGAATGATTTTTTTTCAAACACTTAATCCTTCCTATGATATATACTCCTTCCATCGTGAAATAAAATTTCTTGTTTGGTCAATCATCAACTCACATATTTATGTAAAGTAAATTTTGTTTTTCCTTTCAAAGTATACTTTTACTTGATATCAAATCAACAAAAAATAGACAGAGTAAGGTGGTGCTTGGATCTGATTCTTAAAATTGTTTATGTTCCTTCAGGAAATAGAAACATGAGTTGAAGTGTTTGGGTGGAAGTGTCGATGTACTTCTGGTGCCCTAATTTACTCTCAGAATCGGTTTTTTTAGAAGCTAGGGGAGATCAGCTTCTGAAAACTGATTCTGATTCTGCTTCTAGTTTAGAAAAGAAGTAGAAGCAGAATCAATTTCAAACACTCCGAAAGATAGTGAGACTTTTTTCTTAGAACTGACTTCTTTTAATAAAAATGTGAACTTTTTTTGAGACATTTATAAAAAGAAAGTCAGAATTTCATTTGTGGAGCAAGTCTAAATTAATTACAATGACAAAATAATGATGGAGACTGAGAGAGCGTAAAGAGGATAGGAATGTGAAAAGTCATCATTCTTAGCCAACTCATGTATTTTGACTTACTGTACAAGCTAAGCCATCTACGTTATCTGTGATTGTGTTCTATATATATAAAACAGTGCATCATAACCCCTCCCAACAAAACTCAGATCAGATCAAACAGATCTATATAACCCCCGTCCAAAAATCCACTTTGTTCCAAAAAACATGAAAGTGAAAATACAAATTACGAGAATCATTAAACCTCTGTATGAAGGAAACCCTCCTTCAAAAACAAGCCACACACCCCTCAGTGTTTTTGACAAGGTTTCTTATGATGCTCAAATGGCTGTTATTTATGCCTACCATCCTCCCACCCCTCCAAGTGATTCCATTGAGATGGGCCTCAGAAAAACTCTTTCAGTGTATAGGGAGTGGGCCGGGCGGCTGAGCAAAGACGACAAGGGTAAGCCCGTCATTTTACTCAATGACGAGGGCGTAAGGTTCGTGGAAGCTATAAGCGACACGAACCTTAACAAGGTGATGCCCTTGAAGCCATCATCTTCCTTGCTCAACCTTCACCCAAGTTTGAAGGGCGTGACGGAACTAGTCCAAGTCCAGTTGACGCGTTTCACGTGCGGGTCTCTCGTGATCGGGTTCACCGCACATCACCTTGTGGCCGATGGCCACTCCACAAGCAATTTCTTGGTTGCATGGGGAAAGGCTTGCCGTGACCTTCTCGGGCCGATCGAACCCTTTCCCCACCGTGACCGCACCATTTTCGTCCCACGAAACCCCCCGAGAATTGAGTATGAGCACGTCGGAGCTGAATACACTACAATACACTCAAAAGACACGAATAATAAAGATGACATCCAACACGATGATGACATTGTGGTTCATAAAGTCCACTTCACCTTAGAGTTCCTAGCGAAACTCAAGGCCAAGGCCTCCGCCATGAAACCGAACAACGCGAGGCCATATAGCACGTTCGAGAGCCTCGTCACGCATCTATGGCGGGCAATAACCAAGGCAAGAAATCTCGGAGGCTACGAAAGCACCCACATAAAGATATCTGTGGATGGCCGTGCACGGTTGAACCCGAAAGTACCCAATGACTACTTCGGCAACCTGGTCCTATGGGCCTTTCCCACAGCGAAGGTTAAAGACCTGCTGCGTGAGCCACTTCCTTACGCCGCCAAACTCATCCACGACGCCGTGGCAAAGGTGAACAACAACTATTTCAGATCATTCATAGATTTCGCAAACTCTGAGGAAGCCGACTCCGGTCTTGTTCCTACAGCTGACATGGACAAGCACATTCTTTGTCCTGATCTAGAGGTCGATAGCTGGCTTAGGTTCCCATTTTACGACTTGGATTTTGGGATGGGGTGTCCGTACATTTTCATGCCCTCTTTCTATCCGACAGAAGGAATGATGTTTCTGCTTCCTTCCTTCATAGGAGATGGAAGCATAGACGCTTTCATTCCTTTGTTCCAAGACAATCTGGCCACCTTCAAGCAGATTTGCTATTCTCTTGATTGATTCATCATGACTCATAAAGCTACAATTAAATGGCGCTGCACTCTCCCATAAAGTTTTGTTATTTTTGTCATATTTGATTTTTTTTGCTCAAATCATGTTTTAGACTTATACGTTGAAGTATATTTTAAATAGAAATTACACAAAACAAGAGTAAAATATGGACTAGTACAAATTAAAGAATAAGTACGTTTTGATTCTCCAAATGTACTCATTTATTCCTATTAAGAGAATAAAAACAAAAACACTCCAATACAGAGAGTCAATGAGTTTTCATTTGGAAAGAAAATGATTACTCTTATTTGATGAAATGTTTTATGTTTTACTCTATGTTTGAAATCCTCTCTATTTTTAATGAATTGGGATTTATATATTTTTGTACTTCATGAGTGTACTAATTAATCAATAAATCCGATCCGTTATTTTTTTTACCCCGAAAAGGCAAACAACAAAAACCAGTGGGGTAAATGTGAGTGATCATTTACCAAATTTTATTAAAAAATGGAGATTGCAAAAGAGAGGGGGACCAAACCAAACCTTCCATAAAATACAATCTGAAAAAATCAGAAAATAGATCAAAACAAAACAAAACTCAGGGGGACTAGACCTGACCTGAGTAACAAGATAAAAGCATTCAAAATCTAAAAGAGGGGATACCAAAGTAATCCATCCAATAGGCCCTTTTAGCAAGAGTTGGCAACTGATTGAGCCGATCATAATAAACAAGTTGATCCAAATGGGCCGGAGCTAAATAATGGGAGACCCAGTTACTCTCCCGAAAACCATGAGAGAAACTTATCTGCTTTCTACCTGAAATCTGTATGGTTTCCTGAATCGCCATTTTCCACCTTCTTGTCTCCCTACCCGTAAAGAAATCCAGAACAACACTTGAATCCGAGTCAACCACAAAATCCTCAAAACCTTTCGCAGTCATCCATTTGATGACGAAGAGGATAGCAAGTAACTCCGCCTCTAAAGCAAAAGATGTCTGAAGAGGGAAGCAGTCATCCATTTGAATCTGATACGTTATATATTAAAATAGTTTTGTATAAAAATAGAGAAATTTATCATGGATATAACTAAAAGATGATGTAGTTCCCATTATATGACTAGTTTAATATTTATCCTACTCTATGACCTCGCATAATGACCTCCATTTACGAGTATTATAATTGGGTGGTTGTGCGTGAAAGAGAGAATTTTAGAGAGAGATTGATTTTGGGAGAATTTGGAACTTTTATTGATTTAGAGCTTTTGGTTTATGTTACAAATGAGTGATGAGTGATCTATTTATAGGTCTCATAGGATCCTTCTAGGCACTCCTACTTCCTTAACCTTCTACAATATTCTATAGAATTCTAGCTTAGGAACATTCTAGAACTATTTAGGTACATTAACTAAAGAGTACTCTAGACCTTTCTTTACTATGTCCAACTTATGGGCTAACTAATTTATTATTTCTCATACAACTACTAGCCCAATAAGTTCACTTCTAATGGACCCAATTATTGGGCTAAGCCAAGTTTAATTTCTAACATCCCCTCTTAAACGTGACTTAGCAACACCAAGTAGATTCTGCATCTTTGCAAAGACATCATGCTTGAGTGGCTTTGTGAGAATATGAGCGACTTGGTCTTGATTCATCACATACTCTACTTGAACTTCCTTCTCCGCTATCTTTCCTCAGATGAAATGATATCAAGTGTCAATGTGCTTACTTCGATCATGAAACACTGGATTCTTTGCCAATGCAATAGCTGACTTGTTGTCCACGAATATTGTTGTTGTTTCTTCTTGAGACATGTCGAGAGCTTGCAATATGTAGCAGAGCCAAATTGCATGACACACACTTGATATTGCTGCAACGTACTCGGCTTCACAAGTGGATAGAGTGACAATCAATTGCTTCTTTGAAACCCATGTGAAAGCGGTGTTTCCCATGTAGAATACGAACCCAATTGTGCTGTTGCGATCATCAATATCTCCACCCCAATCACTATCGCAATATCTAACCAACTTAAACTCATCACATGAAGAGTAAAACAACCCATATTCGGCGGTGCCTTTGAGATATCGCAAAATCCTTTTTGCCGCCTTTAAATGAGTTGTTACAGGGGCCTCCATGAATCGACTAACAAGTCCAACACCGAAGAAAATATCCGGTCTTGTACATGTTAAGTATTTTAAGCTCCCCATAAGACTCTTAAAGTAAGTGGGATCAATCAATTTTCCCTTTTCATACCTTGATAGCTTCATTCCATTTTCAACAGGTGTACTTACAGGGTTAAAGTTCTCTATGTTGAACTTCTTAAGTACTTCCCTTGCGTAGCCTTCTTGAGTGATGAATATACCATCATTCATTTGCTTCACCTCGATGCCAAGATAGTAACTCATAAGCCCAATGTCAGTCATCTCGAACTCCCTTGTCATGACTTGCTTAAACTCATCAAACATCATCATGTTATTACCTGTAAAGATGAGATCGTCCACGTATATGCACACGAGCAATATGTCTCCTTGATGATTTTTCTTAACATATAGTGCATGTTCTTGTGGACACTTCACGAATCCATTAGCTTGGAAGTATTGATCAATTCTACTATTCCAAGCTCTTGGTGCTTGTTTAAGCCCATAAAGAGCCTTTTTTAGCCTTAACCCTTTACCTTCTTCACTTTTCACCTCATAACCTTCGGGTTGTTAAATGTAGACTTCTTCTTCTAGGAACCCATTTAAGAACGCGGACTTGACATCCATTTGATGTATCTTCCACTTATTGTGAGCCGCGAGTGCTATTATCAATCTTATTGTTTCTAATCTAGCAACGGGTGCAAATACTTCTTCATAATCAATGCCATATCTTTGGGCGTAGCCTTTGTCCACTAGTCTTGCCTTGTACTTCTCCACATCTCCTTTTGCATTTTTCTTAATCTTAAATACCCACTTCACTCCAATTGCTTTATGTTTTAGTGGAAGTGTGGCAAGCTCCCATGTTTTATTCTTCACAATTGACTTGATCTCATCATCCATTGCATCTCTCCACTTCTTGTTTCTTGTGGCTTGTTCAAAACTTAGTGGCTCACAATCACCAAATAGACACAAGAGTGTAAGTTCATCATTTGAGTTCAAGTTTTGTGTTACCTCGTAAAGCTCTTCAATGCTTGTCATGCGTGGTACTTCTCTTTCATCCGAACTTGGTGATAAAGCTTGAGCTTGAGTGGGAGATGGTGGAGGAGTTATATTTTCATGATTTTCTTCAACTTCTTCTTCATATTTCATGGGAGGTAAGAGACTATAATCTTCTTTGTCACCAATGCTCCAATCCCACGAGCCTTCTTCGTCAAACTCCACATCACGACTTATTATAAGCTTCTTCAAATCCGGATTGTAGAATTTGTACCCTTTTGAGTGTATCATATCCAATGAATATAAACTTCTTACTCTTGTCGTCAAGTTTTGACCTAGTCTGATCGGGTACATGCGCATATGCAATGCATCCAAATACTCTCAAGTGTGAGACTCCAGGTTTACCTTCATGCCATGCTTCTTGTGGAGTTATTCCATCAAGACTCTTCGTGGGGCAGCGATTTTGAAGATAGATGGCAAAATCCACAACTTCAGCCCAGAATTCTTTAGGCATATTCTTTGTTTTTAGCATGCTTCGAGCCATGTTGAGGATCGTCCTATTCTTTCTTTCGGCAACACCATTTTGTTGTGGTGTTCGTGGGACAATCATGGGACGGCGAATGCCATTATCTTCACAAATTGATTAAACTCCTTTGATGTGAACTCTCCACCCCGATCTGATCTCATGGATTTGATAGTGTACCCACTTTCTTTCTCAATAAGAGCCTTAAATTTCTTGAATGCTTCAAAGGACTCAGATTTTTGTTTAAGGAAATATACCCATGTTTTTCTTGAGTAATCATCGATGAAAGTGATAAAGTACTTAGTTTTACCATGTGAACATGGAGTAATAGGACCGCATAAGTCGGTATGGACTAACTCCAATTGCTCCTTAGCTCTTAAGGTAACTTCTTTAGGGAATGGTTTCCTTGATTGCTTTGGATAGCTGATCGGGATGATTGATGAAGGGCAAGCCTTTCACCATGCCTTTGGACGATAGCATTTTCAAGCCACCAAAGTTTAAGTGCCCATATCTTAAGTGCCAAATCCATGACTCGTCTTTCAAGCAACTTTTTAAGCATATGGCTTGATCTCTTTGAATGTCAAGCAAGAACATTCGGTTTCTAGTCATCGGCACTTTAGCAACTAGTCTTCCATTATTGTCTCGTAGAGAAAGACTACGATTCTTTATGTGAATACCATAGTCCTTTTGTAAGAGTTGTCCCATACTTAGAATATTTGTTTTTAAGTTGGGCACATAGTAAACATCGGAAATGAATTGGTGACTTCCATCGTTTAGGCGGATCAGAACGTTACCTTTACCATTCACCACCACTTTAGACTCATCTCCAAAGGTAACATGACCTTGAGTTTGTTCCACCATCACGAACATGCTCTTATCTCCCGTCATGTGGTTGCTAGCTCTGGTATCTAAATACCACGTGCTCTTCTTTGTTTGTTCTTCATGATTTGCCATCAACAAGGTTAGTTCTACCTCATTATTCATCTCCATGAGATGGACCTCTTCTTTCACATGATGAGAGCGCTTGCATTCATATGCATAGTGGCCATATTTATTGCAATTATGACACTTTAGTTGAGACTTGTCGTACCTTTGTGGTTTGCTTCCTCTCCCACAGCCTCTAGATGCTTGCGTATATTGATTCTTTCTTCATTGTTGAAGTTTGTATAACCACGACCTCGACCACCTCTTCGACGTGCACCACGTCCTTGATCATAACCATGACCTTGTTGGCCTCTTTCTTCACCTCTATTCTCCCCTTTCTTTAAAAGAGAGTTTGGAGTAAAGAGAATGCTCTAATGATTCATCAGATTTATTTCTCATAACTCTTTCTTCATTTACTTGTAGTGAGCCCATAAGTTGATCAATGGTCATGGACTCTAAATCCTTAGACTCTTTTTTGGACACCACAATATAATCATAGTCTTTGGTGAGAGAGCGAAGAATTTTCTCAATCACCGTTATGCCTTTTAGTTCCTCACCATTCCTCTTTGTTAAGACCCGGGATTCCATCCTAAAAGGTCAACCTGATAGGAGTAGTGTAACGCCCGTACCTTTTCTACTTCTTATGCATTAATTAATGTTATATATGGTCATGTTTTAACTAATGTTTGAGTGCTATATGTGTGAAGTGTAGGGATAGCATGTGAGTATGAACTTTGTGATAATGATATTTGAACTTACATGCTTATATTATGTTTGAACGTGACAGACGACGGTATCCGATGAGCAATGAAACTACACCGTAATAATCATTTGTATTTTTGAATGTAATGATATATCAAGTTATTTGTCATGTTAGATAGTATTCGAGTATTTAAAATATAGTTTAAAATGTCATCGGGGGTCTAGGTTGTGAACGGTAACAATCGGGGTCGGTTTAGGGCAAAAAATGACGTTTTTGGCACCCGATTGACCTCAAACCAGCGCCGGTTGGACCCAGACCGGCGCTGGTCCAAAACAGAATCTTTGGGGCGTCAAAAACACAGCACAACCGGTGCCGGTCAGGGGCAAACCGGCACCGGTCCGGGCGATTTTTTCCCAGGTCGGTGCAGGTTGTATTTAAACGGGAAAAATTCCCCTTTTCTCCAAAACGAAGCCCTGCTCGACTCCCTCTCTATAAACTCATTCCAAACCCTACCTAGACTATTTCAAGCTCAAATTAAACCTATTTTTCATCAAGGATCATCACTTGATAAAGTTTTACACTTAACATGAAGTATTTCTACTATATTTGTATCTATAGTTCTTGGTTGGGGATTTTTCTAGGGTTGATTGATTTAGGGTTGATTCTAGGAAAATTAATGGATTTTCTTAATGATAAGGTTGTTATGGAGTTGTTGTTCATCCTTGATTGAAAACTCTTGTGAAGTTTTAGGTATTTAGCTACCCCAAAGTTATACCCAATTTAATGAAAGAATTTAGGAAGTATTTTAATGATTAGTGGCTGATTCTAAATAGATACATGAAATCCTTGATATTATGAGAAGGATTTAATAGATGATGAGTCTTGATTCATGAAATTCAATCGGTTCTTAGTTATCTAGCCACCCCGAAGCTATGCCCAATTTGTTGTAGGAAAAGGGGGAGTTTT